CCTGTTCGCAAGCACTTGCTGAAGGTAACCGAGCTCCAGGTCAACAACACCCACATCAGACCTACTGCACAGGAACCTTTGCCCAGGGCTCTCCTAGAAATACTTTGCAGACTGATGAGGCAGAGGTCACTGGGGCTGTGGTCAGGGATTGCCTGCTTCGTCCCCACCTTCCTGCAAGCAATTCTGCTGTGGCTGTTGTGCATAGTGAAGGTCAGGTTTAAAGCTCTCATTGATTTTAGGCTGCAAAGGACAAGGGCTGGGTTTCTGGCAGCCTGGGTCAAGGCAGCTCTGCTACTTCAAATAAAAAGTGGCAAGCAAAACCCAGAACAGGCACTTAAATTATCCTGAAATGGTAGAACTTGCAGCCCCAGGAGGCTAAGGGTGTTGGAGGGGGAAGGGGAAAAAAGCCGGGTGAGAGATACAGTGCTTCTCAGGGTGAAAAAAAAATCACTCTCTGGATGCTGCATCCCTGCAGCCCCAAGTGCTCTTGCTCCTGTGCAAGGTTTGGTGCCAGGGCCAGAGCACTGGCTCCTGGGTTCGCTCATCAATTAATTCCCTGTGTAGCTTTGGGCAACGCTCTCTATTTTTTCCATGCCTTTGTTTTTTACCATGTGCAACCCCGGATGAACACCTCTCTCTCCAGGGTAATTAATGAGCTGCAAAGCACTTTGATGTCTTCAGAGGGAAAGTGTTGGCCAAGGGAGGCTGCAATTGCTGCTGAGGAAGGTGTAAGCTCTATCCAGTCCAGGATACAGCTGGGACCCAAGTCTAGCAGGGGTCCAGGCAGGTTGTTGAAGGGCATTCTAGTGAAACTTTCTGTGGGTCTGGGACCTCAAGCAGTATTCAAACACTAGGTAGACATTCCAGGCCTATAAACAAATGCATGGGAGACCCTGTGGGCAAGCTGTCATCAAAGGAAAATGAGTGCGGAGACAGAGAGCAGCGCTGGAGAGGGTGGCTGTCTGTGGTCCTTGGCATGGAGTGTGTTCCCTGTGATACAGGCTGGCCCTCTCCTGCTACATAAGTGCTGCTGGCTCAACCCTGTCCTACAGCCCAGATATGCTTTGGGGCTCTTCAAAGGGATAAAGATGTATTTTTAACTTCAGGCAGCTGCTTTTTTAGCGTGCTGCTTTTTTCTTCTCGTAGCTCTGGAAGTGGCAGGTTGTTTTAAAGCCCCTGTGTTTATCAGCTGTCTCAGTGGAGGTGCCTAGAGATGTCAAACCAGCTTCCCAAAAATTTTGGTGCTGGAAATCGGTAGCCGCTTTTGAAACTGTTGGCAAGACTGTGCAGCTCCCTACAGATGTGAGCTGATGGCCATTTGAACATACTTTCACCTCAGCCAAGTCCTCACCCCATTGAAGCCAATGGGAATTTTCCTTGAAAAAGGCCATAAAGAAATCATTTTCTTGGCATGGAGAGAGGTGTTTCATGGGCTCCACATCAGTGTTCAGGAGAACTTCAGCTATCTGCTTTGATTTCTGCCACATTTGTCCCACCCTGCACAAAGCTCTACCTTTTGATCCAAAATAGCAAAGGAGATGTTTTCCATATGCCATAGGAAAATGGAAGAACTATAAAACTTAATTGTTTTGGAGTTTTTGCACCACTTTGTTCACAGATATATTTAGCATGAGTTGAAATTGGTCAGCAAAAGGGTGTTTGCCAGAATGACAGATTAGGGTTGGATATCTGACACAATTGCATACCTGCCCATCCCATGCCAGTAGGGTTGATGGGTGGCTTAATTAGTTCATGGATAGTCATAAGCAAGCACACACAATTTGCTTCTTCTGGGTGGTGTTAAAAAGCATTATCTGGCTGTAAAAGGCTCATGGCTTGCTCTGTGTTCTCCCAACCTCAAGGTTTGATGTCTCTACTCTTTGTTGCTACGTGGCCTGTTTGCTCTTTGAAATGTGGTCCTCCACACCTGATTCTCAGCCTCCTCTTGTTCACAAAGGAACGGCTGGTGCTTTGCAGTTCTTCTGTCCTGTCTCCTTTTCCTAGTGATTGAGGCATTTCTGCAAGCCCCAGGTCAGGAGGATTCCTCCTAAGAGCAGCACTGTGTTTGGGAGAGGGAAAAGCTGTGACGGGTCTCCAGCATCAGTCCCATGTGAATCAATCCAGCTCAGTGGCAGGGTGAGGGTACTGCTTGCTGCGGCTGGCTCAGCCTTGGGAGAGAGAGAGCTTACAGTCAACAGCAGCTAGACCTTCCTGGCCTCTGCTTCAGGCGTGCTCCTGGGATGGTGCACAGGGAGCCAAGACCAATCTCCCCTGTCCCTGGGTGTGTTCCTGCACATGGGCTTGCACACGCTGCTCCCATCGGTGGTTTTCTTTGGGCTGGTATTTGTTAGCATTGGAAAATGAGAAAAATGAGCAAAAATATTATCAGAAGCAGGTTTTGTGAATGAATCAGCCGACAAGAGGCTTACCAGCTCGCCTTCATTTACTAGTGCAGTGCTTATTTGGGCAGATGTCTATATATTTTAGTTGGAGGCAGGAAGGAGTGAGAATCTATGGGGGAAGGCACCGCTTCCAGTTTGCTGCTTTTCTGTCAGTTTGTACCATCAGTTTTCTGAATGAAGCAGGGGACTGCAGAGTGTCTAAGATGCTGCCCTGCTGCTGTGCTAGTTCTTCTGAAGTTGACAGCTTGGTGGGACACCAAGAAAAGAGCACAAAAGACTGCTGGAAGGCTAAAACCTCCTAAGCAGCTTGTTGAGGAACAGTTTGGCCAGCCTGGCCAGCCTTGCCCGGCTCTTGCACAGGCTTTCTCATTTGATCCTGTCTGAAGGGCGGCCTCATGGCCTTCTCTCTTCTCACTATGTGTTTCTAATTAACGAGGAGACTGGTGTATAAAGAGAAGATTCCTGCTCAAAATATTAGTTGTCTGGCTCCCAGGATGACAGCCAGATGGCAATCACCAGGCAGCAACCCAGACTTTGAGCTCGCCCATCTGGCTATTAAACCTGGTCCCAATTCTCATCTGGAACTAGTATTGGGGAAAGTTACGGACTTTGCTGGATTGGTTTTACCCCATGATGGCTTTTCAGTTGCTACCTTAGCAGCTAAAACCCCCTGCATTTAGTGTTTCTGGGAAGTGGGATGATCCCAGTTCAAAATGGTGAAGCAGTTCAAAAGGACAAATTCACTGAGGTCTATCACTGGCTTTTAAATAATCTGTATAAGAAGCAATCTTCAACCATGAAAGTGCTTTTCCTACTGGTTTGCAGCAGAGATTGGGAGTGGTCCTTCTGACATATTTCCCAAGCAGCTGCTGATGGCCTCTTGGATGGCATGCTAGGCTGGGGTGGCTCTTTGATCCAGCCCACTTGGGCCATTCGCTTACTATCAGTCTGCAGGCAACCAGACATTTGCTGAGTAAGTTCAGACAAAACTTCTTTTTCAGTTTCTCCTGTGTGAGCCTGGGGTTGTCACACCTGAATAGAGCTTGGGAAGCTGTGGCAGAAATAAAATGCTTGCTATTATGATTTTTCACTCCCTGTCATGACAGTAGAGCTGTACTCTGACAAAACATCGTGATGCAGCTTCTGAAAAAAAGGGGAATGTTAACATTGGTAAATGCTCTGTGTGCTTGGTCTTCAAATAAGCAGAAGAGATCCATAAATTAAGCTTTGTTACACAAGCTAAAGCATTGCTTGTCCTCCATTGTGCACAGTTTGATGTGATTTCATTATTAGTGCCTCAGTTCTAGGGGGCTGGAAAGCTGAAATTGGAGGTGCTGGAGAGAATGCTAATGTTGGGAGGCTGGGTGCTACAGTTTGTCCTTGGCATATGTTAAAAGACACTTTATGTTCTTCACCACTGTAGCACCAGGATGGCCTCGTCTGTCACTAATGTGGGACTGTGGAGCTACTGAAGAGCTCCTATATCCAGAGACATACTTAGCTTGGGTTATTGTGGTGAGAGGTGGTGTGTGTCCATGATTTGGACTGGAAAGGACCTCTGGAGATCTTGGTCCAAGCTCCTGCTTAAAGCAGGGCCAGCCTCAATGTTAGATCCAGCTACAGGCAGATGTGCATGCTCCACCAGATCAGAGCAGGCACCGAGGAGGGGTCAGCTGTCACCCTCTTGAGAAAGCAGGAGGATTTGAGATCTGTCCTCATTGACACCACAAAGTTCAAAGGGACTGGTGTCTGCAGCATTGTGACCATTGTGTACTGCTTTGGAAGGATTGCTCTTAGAAACAGTGCCCAGTGATCTGGGAAAATGCATGAAACAGAGAGTGGAGGAGGTGGAATAAAATCCAGTGTTTAACCCCAGCTTTCTGTTGGGTTTGAAATGTTTTGAAATGGCTGAACTAGCTGGGTCTTGCAGCTCATAGCAGTGGCAGAATTGGGCCCAGGACACGTGGGGCTGTTCCATGGTCAGCAGAAGTGGCTAAATGCAGAAGTAGATAGAAGATAAATGAGCAATGCACTGTATGACAAAAGATGTGAAAGATGATACGGCAAGGACAATCACTGGAATGGCAGGATCTCCAAAGGAAATGAGGGTGGCCATAAAACAGAGGGAAGGTATTTTTGAAAGCAGGCCTGAGAATTTATTTTAGCACATTAATATTGAGTAAGTATTCCTGGAGATATTCTGGGGGATGATAGATGGATTCAAGGTATTGTTACTAATCACTGTGGTTTTAAGTTTTGGAACCGAAGGACATTTGGCATCCCTAACCCAACTGGACTTCTGATGGGAAAATTACATTCTTCGGGAAGTAATTTAGAAGGTCAAAGAAAAACCAGAAAGAACTTCTCCAGCAGCAATTTCCCCTGCTCTATAAACTGTCTTTTAGTGTGGTAATAACTCCAGAATGAAAGGATCTATTCTCACCTTCCAGATGAAAGGGCTAATGCAATTTACAATTTTTGTATGCAAAGATTTTATGGCTTCGTAACCGGCCATGCTTGAAAGCAATCCAGGGTGGGATCCAGTGAGAGAGCACCTGGCTGAGCTTGACCCTTTCCTTCTCTGCCCTGTCTCCTGCAGATAATGTTGACGACCGGTCTGAGAGCATCCTTGCTGAGAACCACGTGGATGGCACCACAGGGATCCTGAGCGGAGCTGGTGGGAGGAAGCCCATGAAGACAGGCATGAAGGAGCTGGCCGTGATGAGGGAGAAGGTGAACGAGCAGCAGCGGCAGATGGGCAAAGTTGGGAAGCCCCACCACAACCACGAGGACTCGAAGAAGTCCCGGCTGTCGACGGGCAGGGTGAGAGGGCAGTGGGGCATGGGGAGCTGGAGGCAGCTGTGGGCTCACTGGGAATGTGAAAGCCTTAGTAACATATGCAACAAACTCTTAAAAGAAAAAGAAACATAAAGAGAAAGAAAAAAGGGGGGGAGAGGAGGGAGAAAAAAAAGAAAAAAAAAAAGAAAGGAAAAGCAAACATTTGTTTTGGCCTGAAGCTGGGCCCGAACACACCATCTCATGAACTTTCATGTGCCGGCGAGGAGGTGTTATTTTCATTGCAGCTTCATCTCCTGACAGCAGAGCTGGAGAAGAGGGGTCCTGCTGGCTCAACACCTACCCCCGGAGGGGGCAAGCGTGCCCTTTGCCCATGAACCTACTTTCTCACACCCTTTTTCCCTAAGCAAGTGCCAGAGATGGCCCAAGGGGATTTGGGGGGTGGGAGAGTGTCTGCCTGCTGTGGGACAGCCCCAGTTTGAGGAGAGGGCTCAGCCCCCGAGGATGAGCTGTGGGGCTGTCAAATAGCAGAGAGATTGGCCAGAGTCCTCCCCTGTCCCCTTCTTCCCTGTCCCTGTTTCTCTGCCTTCCTGTCCTGGGCCGTGGTTTCCCTCTAGTGGGCAGCTTGATCAAGGCAACTAGATGGGATGGTGTTGGAAAGCCACCCCAAAAGGTCCATGATACATATCTCTAGAAACAGAGAGGGTATTTATATCTGGGGAGTGCAGAGACAGAAAGGGGCTTGAAAAGAGCCACCACCACCTCCAAGGAACAGGCAAAGCAGAGATGCAAAATAAGGTGCAGGCACCATCAACTTAGTGAGTTCCCACATTGCTGCTGCTCCTTTGGAAAAAAGAAACAAGCAACCACAACTGCAAAAGAAGAGAAGCGTGGATTCACGCTGGCTCACATCAGGTGTAATCTAACCAGGCTGCCTTGGTTGTGAACTCTGGCTTTGGGCTGCTGTGGTTGCCCCTAGAGGCTGGTTTTGCTGGGTGCTCTCATTCCTGGGGCTTGCTCTCCATCCCCATGTGGTGTCATGTTTTCAGTAGCACTTCTGGATCAAAACTGCATCACAGATGTGGGGTCTGGGCTATGCTTATGGAAACCTTCCTGGCCTGTTTGGATTAATCCTGCTTCATATTACTTGTCACCACTAGTGAGACCCATAGGAGCATTTCTCCTCCTCTCTGTCCCCAAGGCCTGTGACCTGGTGTTATGTTGGCTCTTGGCCACGTGAGGCACATGGGAAAGATGTGCACCCCGGTGTACCTCCACACATTGGCATGTGTGGGCTTGCCTTTGGGTGCCTGTAGGTGATGTCAGCAGCAGGACCCAGTGGCAGCCCATGTCCTGAAGAGGTGCACACAGGTGCTCCTTATGGTGTTTCTGTTGTCCAAAGTGTTAATACTGTGACTAGACCCATTGCCCTGATGTGTGGAGTTTTTCCATTTGTTTATTTTCTGCTTTCTGGGTTCTTTTCAGACGCCTTGTCAGCAGGAGCTGGACCAGGTCCTGGAACGCATCTCTACTATGCGGCTGCCGGATGAGCGAGGTCCCCTGGAGCACCTCTACTCCCTCCACATCCCCAACTGCGACAAGCATGGCTTGTACAATCTCAAACAGGCAAGTGGGGAGACCTAGAACCCCGGGGCTGGCTGAACTGCCAGCAGCAGCCCTCAACTCAGTACATGTCCCCCACCCTGTGCAGCCAGGGGGGACACGCAGCCGCTCAGGGCTGGGCTGATACTGTGCACGTGGTGTTGGGTAAACTGCAAATACCACATGTGGTATGGACAACTTTAGTAACACCCAGGTGCATATGCAGCCACGGGCTAGTAAGAGATGTGAGACCTGCATCTACATGTGGCTGCAGGCAGCCCAGAGATTGAGAATCTGTTCAGTTCAGAGTCCTTTCTTCCCTGTGAGAGCTGCTTACCTGGCCAGGTCTATTTTCATGTGCTTTGAGCTAAGTCTTGTCCTGTCTCGGCTCTGCTACTGGGGAAAACAGGGGCTGAAAGCTGGCCAGTCCTGCAGACAAAGTAGAAAGCACTTCTCCTAGGGTCAGGAAAGTTTCTAGTACACTTTACTGGTTTTCCTTCACAAATCGAGGCTGATCCCAGAGGTTCAGGAGGGATTCCTTCCACACAAGGTGCAGGTTGGGGTGCAGCATGCTTCTGAAAGTATTTAAGGACCCAGAAGGGCTCAAATGACCTAATGTGTGTCTGAATTCCGACTTCTTGGCTTTATTAATGCAAAACCAGCAGGTGTCAGCAGTTAAGGTACAGGGGAAAATACGCCAATAAAAACCTTGGGCAGCAAGACTCTTAGCTTGTCCAGGGCTGACTGGCAGCCAGTATGTGTGAACAGTACCTGGATACAAGCACACCTTACAGCTCTGTGTTACTGAGCCTTTGGAGAGCCCCCCAGAAAACCTTGTTTTCATGGATAAGTTTTTTTCTCAGGGCTACTTCTAGCCCTTGGTTAGGAGCATTGAAAGAAAAAAAGGCATTAAAACATTAGGATGCTCTAAGATAATCTCCCTCCATCCCTTCTCTCTTCCCTGTCCTGCCCAGACCCTCATCCTCTGCCTTACCCTGAAGCACCATTGGCTGGCTTGGATTCCCTAGCATGAGCACACTGGGAAGGGGTGCATGGAGCAGAGCTGGCAAATTCCCAATAAGGACATGAACTGTTTCTGGGGAATGAGCCTGGACAATGCAGCATTGCATTGCTACAAAACCCAAAAGACATTCTCTGCTGCTCCTTGTACCTGTCCAAGTCAGCCTGCACTGAAGGGTGCAGGTGGGTTATGCACTGGTTGCTGCTACAGAAAAAATGAGGGGACAAAAATTGCTCTCTTTTTCCCTCATCCCTCCCTGCCCTGGCTAAGGACAAAGAAGGAAAATGTAAAGTGATAATAATTTCCCTCCGTCTGGGTTTCCAGACCTGAGTATCGGCTCCTTTTCATTTGCTGGAAAGTGGATGCCAACAAAAGCATTCCCAGTTGTCCCACCTCCCATGGGCCAGCACTTGGGTGGAGGGTGCCTAGATGCAATCTCCTGCTGGGGAAGTGTTTTCTTCCCCTCTTTTTGTTCTTTTTATTCCCATGAACAAGGCTGCATTTTGCCCTCAGTCTAGCTGCAGAAAATGGCTTGAATTCAGTTTTACAGAGTGCATGTACCGCCCAGCCTGCTGGAGTAACCTCTGTGTCTCCTGCTATGCTCTGTTCAGAGACATATCTGCTGGGGATGGAGGGATGAGCATCAAGTTCAAAGTGCCTGCAGCCCTTCCAGGGGAAGAGGTGAATGATAACTGTTAGGGCAAGAAGTGTCTCTCTCACCAGACCAAGCTTGATGGGGGCAGAATCCAGGCCCAGATTAACCATCTTCCTTACCTCTGTGCTGGGACAGAGTGAGACCCTGCTAGGAAACATGTTTGGGTCTGGCTGTGGGGGCCTTGCTCCCATATTTCGGCTTGTCTAGCCCAATTTGCAGGTGAGAAGCAGCTTCCACAGCACTTCTCAGTCTGTGTCATCCCTCTTCCCTGAGGGTTTTTTGACTCTGTGAATGCCTTAGTTTGCAGTTGACAGACAGCGGTGCATCTCAGGGGCAGTTGTCCTCGTGGTTTATTAAAATTTGCTTCTTGGATCCTGGCACAGCTGTTGGGAGAAGAGGTCCAGCCCTCAGTTTGGACTGCTGAAGCTGTGCTGCTGGTGCAGCACAGACCTTGAGGTGTCTGAGTGCAGCATCCCTGAACCTTGCTTTAATCCAGACTAGTGCTGAATCACTGGAGAAACCTCAGCTCTGCCTGTGTTTGAGCTTCGGGCTGGTAGGGCTGGGAAGGGGATTTTGTCCTTCTTCTTCAGCTGATGCCTGCCCTGTCCCTTTCTATGCAGTGCAAGATGTCGGTGAACGGGCAGCGTGGCGAGTGCTGGTGTGTGGACCCTATCCATGGGAAGGTCATCCAGGGTGCACCCACCATCCGTGGGGACCCTGAGTGCCACCTCTTCTACACAGCCCACGAGCAGGAGGACCGGGGAGCACATGCCCTGCGGAGCCAGTAGACGGACGTGATCCTGCTTGCTGGAGGTGGCCATGGCCCCCGTGCTGGATTTTACATGGTTTTCAGCATGTCTCTTTAGGCTCTGGAAGAGACTGGGGTTGGGTCCTGTGTGCTGCTCTCCTTCCCCTGCTGCCTGGCTCCAAGAGAGGGGAGGGATAATGGGAGGGGAAGGGCGGTGGGGGGGGTTTGCAAGGAGAAGGGACTGCTTTCCTATAGTCTTTCACCCAATGTAAGCCAGAGAACCGGTCTATTTTGCTCCTCACTCTGCGGCCCTGTCCTCCCTGCTGCTTTGTGGCATCTTCCTGCACCCTCCAGAATGGAGCGCCACATGCTTCTTGACACCTTTCAGGGGCAAAAACACTTGCCACGTGCAAGAGGGGAACTAAAAACAAAGGAAATGAAACCCCCACCCT